AATTAACTTATTTTATTTGCTTAATAATAATAAAAATCCTATAAAGAATTCCCAGTTTTCAGAAAAACAGGTACAGAGATTTTAGCACACAGGTCGTGGCATAAAGTTTGGGCTCTTTCCAGCACATTCTGTAGGTCTCATCCTTAAATGAGAGGATGAAGATATTTCCCCTTTCTTCTTCTGTGGGATGATGGAGCTCCCTAAGTATTTGCTGGCCACATTTCCCAGCCTGTCTAGCTGTGGCCAATGGGACACGAGGACAGTTATGTGTGCATCTGCTGGGTCACTTCATTAAACAAAAGCGTCTTGCTCACCACCTACCCTGTCCCCTCCCCATGGGCCAGGACTCATATATGATGGTGTTGGTGGAGGATCAGAGCAATGAGATAGAAGGAACTGGAGATTTTAGATGACACTGTGGTACAAAGCAGCCTCCCTATCCTGAACTTCCTGCCTAAATCTGAACTCCTTTGTGAAAGGGAAATAAATTTCAATCTTGTTCACATCAGTGTATCTTGGGATCACTTTCTTATAAGCAATTTATCCATCTTATTTACTGTTCTCTCACCATAGTCTTATAACATTTTCTCCCATTTAAATATTAATAAGTGTTCCTATAACAAACTCTATGGCTACAGCAGGGAACGTTTAGAAAACGGGGTGGGGTGAGAAGCCCCCCACTGTCCTCTCATTGTGTTTTAGTTCAGACCATTCCCCCCATTTAAAATCTCCTGTCCCTTTACTCCACTTAGGTACCTGTAGAACATCAAATATTTCTTTAAAGTTCAGCTCTATTTATTTCAACATTCTATAAAAGGTATCCCCAGAGTTTCTCTTTCACAATGATCCCATCTCATGATAGTCCATTTGATTACCAAGCCTGTACACTACACATTTCTTCCTACACTGTCTTGTACTGTTCCTGGAATATGCTAAACACTTAAAAATGTCTGTAGAAGAAACAAACCCATGAATAAATCAATTATCCTCAAAGTATATTGTGAAAAGTCACAGAGCTTAAGTAGAGAATAGGTATATGAGTCAAATAGTCTTGGGTTCAAGTCCTTGTTTTGCCATTATGTAGCTGAATACTCTTGGCAAATCACTTTGGTGTTTGTTCTCAGCCAGTTTACTTCATAGTAAAATGGAACTGCCACCAGATAATACCTAACTTGTGTGCTTATCATGAAGATTAAATGAGGATTAACTTAAAAATTCTGATGTGAGATCTATTACTTAGTTTCTACTTAATGTTTTCTAATCACAAGAATGTAAATTTAATTATAATGAAATTACACCTTTTATCTTTATGTATTTCACACCCAGAAATATAAAAATGTCAGCCTATATAAAAAAAATAAACAATGTGATAAAAATCGTTGGCCTGTGATAAGATTATAGTCTCCGTTTCATCACTAGCTGGTTTTGTGGCATTAGGGGAAGCATCTAACCTCTCTGCTCACATCTATCTTGGTAGCACAGCAAGGGCACAGATAAAACTTCATATTCCAGTCAAGACTGAGTAAAAGCATCCCATTTTACTTCTACTAATCATGACACCAATTGATGGAGACAAGAATACCTCCCAGAAAAGCCTACTCTCTTTAGCCCAAAGACAGGAAAAGGACAGGCTGACAGGACAGAAATCTTTAGCCTTTTTACCTCTTTGTTCTGGAGGCAAACACCACTCCACAACTGACAGCAAGTTTCTCATCAGAAACCATGGGGACCAGCAAGAAGTAGCACAACACTTGAAAATGTTGAATGAAAGAAGTTGTCAACCTAGAATTCCATAGCTAAGGAAAGTATACTTCCGAAATGGAGGCGAAATAAAGACATTCTTAGTTGAATAAAAGCTAAGGGAATTTTGCAGCACACCTGCTGTTTGTGCTGAATGGCTAAAGAAAGTTATTCAAAACAGAAAGGAAATTTTAAACTTGGAAAATCAGGAATGAAGAAAGAGCAACAGAAAGGGTAAATAAATGGGTAAATATAATCAACTATTGTTCTCTTGAAGTTTCAAAATTTGTATTTGTCATTTAAAAGCAAAGTTATAATATTGTCTGATGTGGTTCTCAATGTATGCAGAGATAATATTTAAGACAATTATACTAATAAAATAGTGAGGGTAAAGTCACCTA